GAGTTAAAGGAGGAGAACACGCCGTTTCTTGTGACTCAAACGAGGATTGAGTAGGAGTATTTGAGTACGATATTGGAGCTTGGAATTTACTACAAAATCAAGGGCATTCAACATGAGTCGTGAAGCGATTTGCTTAGCGTTTAGAGAATCGGATTACCTTGACTCTAGAGGGTTCTTCTTGACCAGCTTCGGCAATACCATGATTTACCTAGGCCCCCAAGACTTTCCCACAGGCTCCGTGAAAAAGGACTCGGGCGGGTGACCGGGAGGTTGCGTCACGGGGGCCCGAAGGCATTCGGGAAGGGAGTGGGGCGAAATACTGACCTGAGACAGACAGACCAGTTCATGTGGCCCAATCTCTTTGCCCTGCAAGAATATGGCCCCCACACAATAGTCTGCATCTCTTATGTGGGGATCTGCATGCGTTCGACAGCGAACGGGCGGCGATCCCGGATCGAGCAACGTCTGTGTGCATGTCTCACGTCTGGACGACGCCACTCGGGCCCAACACAGGCTGCAAAAAGTTCGCTTCTGCCTAAGAACGGGGCTGGCTTTGTTATAGTCAGTAAGTTTGAGTTTACAACAAAACGTACATATGCGGAAAGTTCCTTGGCCTACATGCCTTTCCTCGCGCGTGGTAGGTATGCAGATGCTGTGCGTGAGACTAAATGACACTTTGCGTCTCCCCCCATGATAGCTACCTAGTCATGCCTCTTGGCCAAATATGAAGGCCTGGGGATAATAGGAGCTTGCCACACATGTTCGGGGATTTGGAGACATGAGAAGTGGGTGCAAAGTTTAGCTAGACCTACTGAGATAGGCCATTATTCCGAATGAAAGTCCCCTAGCAATTTATAGTATTGAACCATCGCGTGATAGTTCGTAGTAGTGGACAAAGGACAAGTGCATCAATGCTCCATTTGGTAACCTAGAACTGAAGCAGCATATCTTCCTGATCTTTCGATGGTGTGCGTCAGGCATCAAACCCTCCAGGACCCTTGGGCGCCTCTGCCGCATGGAAATCGACGGTAATAGCGCTCGCCAAGATATCTTCCCCATACCCCACGCCAAACGCGGACATCCATGCATCCGCCCATCACTATCGAAGGGACACGGACATAACCATCTTGTACGTTGGTTGGCAGTATGGGCCAGCGGATTTCAGCACTTCTCGGGCGAGTATGCCCCGAGTTTTCCGGACTCTGAGCTGGAGATAACGTGAAAGTGGCGTACCAGCAGGGGAAACAGCCCTGGACGTCTCCTGCGGGCCACCTGCGGGCGGCCTGGGGGTTGGGTTGGGGGTGGTCTTGCAGCGGGACATCTGGAGTACCTGAAAAGGAAACTGCATCGGCGGCTTGCGCGGTTGGTATTGTAACCTCCACCGGCCCGGGCCAGTCGTTCAGCTCGCTACCCCGACCGGTGAGCAGACCTGCATGCCAACATGAGTGACGAAACCTGGAAACCGTCAAGTTCCTCCTGCCAGCGCATGAGCATTGACCACGGCACCATGGGATGGGCACTTGTTTCCTCCACATCAACGACCGTTGTGCTTTCCTCGCCGTATGTTTTTTGCCGGCTGGAGCGGCCCGAGATTCCACCCAGTGCAAATTCTCTTATCGGCCCTTGTTTGAGCAAGAACTTTCTTAACCTCGGTTTAGTGATGGCGCGGGGAAACTTGGTTACGGGTCTCGGCTGTTGCCGGTATGCTGCATTTTTTCTCATTTGAATATCCTGGCGGACTGGATCCTAGGAGGCTGTGTGGTTAAGAAATGTTGTATATAAGGTCTTGAGTGCCGACTTTCTGTACGTTAAACCGCATAGTGGTAGCTCATATTTCCCCACCGTAACTGCAACCCCCGAAAAACATCACCCTGCAAGCAGCGCCCTGAAGCTGCCTATCGCCATGCCATCCTCATTCTCCCTGCATGATATTGGCTACTCCGGCCTCAGGGTCGAATACGTCCGACCCTTCCCCAACAACGGAGAAGAAATCCGAAGTCTCCCCGTTCGTCAATCATGGTGGAGTGGTAGTCGGCGCCGGCTAAGATCATTCTAGGTCCCTGGAGTTCTCTGTCGAACCTGCGCCGCCAATGGCGAGGAGATATGGGTTGTTCCGGGTCTGATATGTGCCAAATGTCGGACGCCAGCATCAGACGAAGAGTTGTTTACAGGCCTCTACCACGAGGATACTGCGGTATGACGAGACTGGATGGCTTTCGGGGATAGCTCACCCTTACGCCTAAGGAAGGAGAGATTGGTCAGTGATCAAACGCAACGAGATCAATAGAGCAGTAGTTGAAGAAATTGTTCGGTGTTGATCAAGTTCGCACACGTTGTTCCGTCTCGTATATCTACGACCCAAACTCAACGGGAACCAACCGCTGGACTGGAAGTCCACCGATACTAGGCCGGAAATTAATCAGGTACGGCTCCAACGGAAGGCTAATATCTGTTCTATTCCAAAACATTGCTTTTATAATCCTGGGGCCCCCATATCCCCCGATCTACTGACTGCGTCTAGGCGGTCGTGCCCCGAGTTCACATGCATGTAGTAGCCTCGGTGCTGCGTCAACAGAACCCCTTCTCTGCTAAGATGGCAGGTTGGTCCGCAAGAGGACCCTCCGGCATTTCATACCATGTCTTTAAAGCAACCAATTTCTTGTCCAAGGGCCCCTCGTCTTGGGATTCAGACCCAGACTCGGTGTGCTCCCCCCCCTGCAACAACACCCTCAAACATTCGGCGTGTCCGTGACTCCCGTGTCCGTTCTCCAGTGACGCCACCACAACGTTAAGCGGCGTAACCCCAGCGTCAGAAACGGCGTTCATGTCCGCCCCGGCGCCGATCAACAACCGCACGACATCCGCCTTACCCGCCTCGGCGGCCCAGGAGAGCGGTGTCCTCCCATACCCATCCTTGACGTCAACATTGGCGCCAGACTGTAAAAGAACTTGTGCGCAAGCGTAGCTGTTGTGAGCAAGATGCAACGCCGAAACCGGATGCTTCGGGCCCTTCTCTCGCCTCAAGCTCTCTCGCGACACGCTTCTCGTCTTGACCCTCAACACCTTCAACCCCCCCTCCACCCCCTTTCCATCCCGCCCCCCCTCCGCCGCATCAAACACGCCATCCACATCCGCCCTCCCCACCCTCACCAGCACCTCCACACACTCCACCTGACCCTCCGCAACCGCAACATGCAGCGCCGTGCGCCCCTTCCCAACCACCACCCCCTTCAAACTACCAATCCCCCGTCCGCACGGCAGCCACCCATCTACATCCACCCCCCTCCCTAGCAGATACCTCACCGCCGCGACCGCACCCCCGGCACACGCCATACTCAACACACTCTCCCCAACCCCCGTCACCCGATCCACCCTAACAGCATGCACATCCGCCCCGCACGCCTCCACCAGAAACCGCACCATCTCGAGGCGCGCGGCAGGCCAGACGGCCCCGCGTGGCGAGCGCACGGCGGCCATTAGGGGCGTGACGCCGAGGTGGTTGGGCGCGTTGACGGGCAGCGGGGGGGCCGTGTGGGTGCCGTCGCCGGTGCTGGCCCGGGCGGCGCCGGGGATCAGGTAGCGCGCGACCTTGTCGATGTCGAGGTCGGCGCAGCCGATGCAGAGGTCGGCTTGGAGGGGGAGGGAGGGGGTGGTGGTTTGTTGGGTGGCGGGGGAGGGGAGGAAGAGGCGGGCGAGGGTGGACAGGACTCCATGGAGTGGGGCGCTTCGTGTGGGGTGGCGTTTGGGGGGGTGGGGCGGTGAGTGGGTGGATGGGTATCGGGGCTGGGGTGGTGGTTTGGTGGGGGCTGTTTTCGTTGGTGTTGTTTTTGTTATTGATGGTGGTGATGGTGGTGTTGTTGTTGCGAGGAGAGTTCTGGTGAGGGAAGCGATCCGTGTTGCGAGGGCGGTGTCTTGAAGTTCGTTCTCGGTTTGTGTTTCGGCGCAACGACAGGCGGCGCCATGAATGTAGATGGTGGGAAGAGTGTTATTGGGGTTGAAGACTTCGCGGCACTCGGTTTTTCGAAGTCGTTTCGGTCGTGCCTGTGTTTGAGGAGTCCATGATATTGGCCTATGGGGCTCTTCTCGACTTCTCCAGGATGCGAGACTGGGGGAAGAATCCTTCAAGTTCCAATACAGGTCCTGCTTAACAGACAAGGTCGCGGCTTGAGCCATTTCCTATTTCCTTGGTTGAGAAATAGGTATCCAAGTTTGCTTGCTTAAGCTTTCGTTTGCACAAACCCTCTGCCCCCTCGCGTGAAGGGGAGGTTCTGATTTAAACCAGTCGATCTACTGCAGGGACCGTGTGACAGACAGCCCTACATTGCAAGGCTGATCGCCGCATTTTTTGTGTTTTCGACAAGCCACGCACCCCTCGCTTGGCGACGTATGCTATAGGACTACGACACGTCGCTTGAGCCATCTAGCGGCTAGCTGAACGTGCTAACGCGTGCGAGATCCGCTCGAGGAGCCGCAGTCAGTGATGGGCTGGTGGGACTCGTGGGAAACTGCGACACAGCCCCCACCAAATTCGGAAATCCGTGCGAGCTGTGGTCAAGGAAATAATTAATAAAGACCACTGCTGACGGACACGTCACTTTGGCCGCATCCCCCCCAATCAATAAATTCTTTCGAATAAGGCACGACTTTTGCATGGCCCAATCCCATCGGCCACAGTTGGAAAGAATGGGAATCCGTTCCAGGCATCATCACTCCACCGCATATGCCAGGGAGGGAGTCATTGAAGTGGAATCTCGCATGTTCCGCGGAGCCTCGAGGTGACTGGACTGGAAACTGAATGGACAAATCCGGGCATGCAAGGGGCGCCAAAGTCAAGATTTTACTTGCGTCCTGAGATCTGCACCCCACGGATCGCCTCTCACGGCCTGTGCAAAGAGAAAACCGCGTACACTAAGGTGAAAAACTGAGATAGCGGTGAAAAAATGAATCCCGAAAGTGAGAGACAACAAGCCGATGTCGGCAAAAAGAACCAAACATGTAGTCTCTCCCGCCGGGAATTGAACCCGGGTCTCGAGCGTTTGTTGATTGACAAGCTCACATACTGACCACTATACTACGGAAGATTAGATTTTCAGGTGTGGCACCTGCAGTAGGGTTAGGGTTGGTGTGGGAGTCCAAACCAGATCTGGAAACTAAGAAGGCGCCTTATCTCCGAGAAGAGTCGTTGCAGATTTGAACTGGTGCAATTGTACGATACCTTCATTGATGAGACACGTGGTTATCATGATTGAAATAGCTGTAACTCGGGCAACTTGCAACCACTACTTCAGCTACAGGTTATTTCACTGGAGATTTATGTGTTTCGTGAGGTATATAGCACTTACCTCAAGAACTAATAGTGGTATTACTGCGATAACTCGACCTTCTTCCTTGCAAGCCAAACTCGATCTCTGTTCAAAATATCAGCAAAATGGCTCTTGGGGATAAAACCCCTGAAGGGAGGTACTTCCGGCGAACCCGCCATAGCCGGTCGGTTGAACTGCTCATACTCACCAATACACGAAATCTTTCCAGAACATTCTGCCACAACAATGATCGGCGATAAGGCATGGTCGTGATGTTGATCCCAAAGGCTATTTAATATACTCCGTCGCCGCTCAAGGATAGGATTGTCTTGTCTTCCCAGTGAGCAACCCGGTTTGAGGTCCCGATGACCACAACCAACCATCTCAGGGGTAGAAAGATGAAGAGTAACCATTTGGGGTATGCGAAGATACATTACAATAAATTACACATTTACTTTCGTTTGACGCGAGACGCTGGCAATGATCAGCTCAGCCAATTGAAGGCCGTGCCATCTTTACCCCTGATTTAACCACCTAGCCGCCCAATATGCGGCAGTTCACCCCTGGTCTACCGGACAGGTTCACGGGTGACGGTGAAGGACAAGCCGACAACAAACGTACAAAGTACGGCCCTGGTTGGCCAGCACGTCGTAGGCGGCTGCGGGTTATAAGGAGGTAGCCGATTTATATACCACGCCTAAATCTCCTAACGTTGAGCTCTTCCCCTATCTCGATTGAGTCTCATGTTATTTTCTGGATACAGGGAAAGTCCTACCTCTCCAGCTTACACCTGACCTACAACTAAGCAATTGGTAACAATGAGAGTTTCTCTCTTTGCAACGGTGGCAGGGCTCTGCGCTGGGCAGGCGTCTGCCCAGTTTGCCCAGGCCGCAATGATGCGCTTCCAATGCTCGCAGCTCGTCATCGAACGTCTGGACCCTCTCGTCAACCCCGGCGATGTGCAGTCTCCACATCTTCACCAGATCGTGGGCGGTAACTCTTTCAATGCCAGTATGACCCCCGTCGAATACGACCCGGCCGAAAAGTCAACATGCACGACGTGTTCGTTCTCCGAAGACTTTAGCAACTACTGGACGGCAAACATCTACTTCCGCGCAAAGAATGGAAGTTACAAGAGAGTCCCCCAAATGGCCAATCTTGGGCTCAGGGGAACCGGGGGCGTGACGGTGTACTACATTCCGCCTTATGACGGCAAGACCACCGTCACAGCCTTCAAGCCGGTGAGCAAAGAAACGACCAGGTATTATCCCGCCCTATGACTAATAAGCGCAGGGCTTCCGCATGCTGGTGGGAGAGGCCGGCCGCCGGACTCAAAAGGGCATGCAAAAGCAAATCTGCCACCGTTGCGAGCACAACATCGAACAAACTCCCTTTGGTGGCGCGCCCTGCACCGGCGAAGATACCGCGTCGTTCCCAGACAAGCCTTGCCCCGGCGGTATTCGGACGACCATCACGTTCCCAACGTACACTAGCCCCCCACACAATCCCAACACACACACTAACGATAAACAGATGCTGGGATGGCAAGAACCTCGACACCCCGGACCACAAGAGCCATGTTGCCTATCCTGAGGTTGGGAGCTTCGAGTCGACCGGGCCGTGTCCCGCTAGCCACCCCGTCCGCCTGCCGCAGCTGATGTACGAGGTCATGTGGGATACGCGGGAGTTCAACAACAAGGAGGACTGGCCTGAAACCGGCCAGCCCCTCGTTTACTCGATGGGTGATGCGTAAGTCGCCGCTACATGTGTGTGTCTGACGCGCTGACTGACTCGCGCACAGCACGGGATTTGGCCAGCACGGCGATTACATCTTTGGCTGGAAGGGCGATGCCCTCCAACGGGCCTTGGATGCACGCTGCACCGGTGATCGCTGCTCGGCCCTGAAAACCCAGACTCCTGAGGAAGCAGTGGCCTGCCAGAAACAACAGACCGTGGCTGAGGAGACGGAAGGATGTAAGTGCTGTGTGACGGCAACGTGGGCTGAACATGACGCTAATACTCTCTAGGGCTCGACGCTATTCCCGGTGGGGTGCATCCTGTTTAGGCTAAAGGCGGTGTTGCTGGAGACTCGAGATAATTCATAGAGAGCTACCGTTGGGTGGTGGTTTGGGAATGACTAGAATAGGTAGGCAGATGCTTGAGGAGTTCTGTAGCCTGGGGTACGCGTCACGAGCTTTAGGCACGCCTCTTCCCACCTGTCAGCAAACCACCCGATCGCTCCGCAAAGTGAACCTTGTAATTGTTTAAAATGAACGAACTCATCCAAAACCCAAACGATCTTGAAGCATCTGAAGCGCCAAAAAACAAAACCACATTTACCAAAAAAACTGCCACCCGATCACGACGCCCACCACTGCACCAGTCCACCACCACAATGTCAACAACCACCAACCTCACCCACCCCTCCACCACCCCCTCCTCCCTCACTCCCTACACCACCACCCCAGCAACCTACCTCTCCGCCAACCCCCACCTAACCAACCTCGTCGTAGGCGCACTCATCCTGCACCACAACCGCGTGCTCCTCATCCAGCGCGCCCCGCGAGACGGGTTTGGGTTAAAATGGGAATGCCCCGGCGGTTGCGTCGAGGCGGCCGACCAGTCCCCCCTGCACGCACTCTGCCGCGAGGTGCGCGAGGAGACGGGGCTGGAGGTGGGGGGCCGCGTGGCGGGTGTGGTGGATACGCTCGAGTTTGAAGGGGGTGGGGGTTCGAGGTGGAGGAAGGTTACGTTTTTGGTTGTTTTGGATCATTCTAATTCTCAGGGGGATGGGGAGGTTGTGGTGCCGCCGCTGGTGGTAAGGCTTAGTGAGGAGGAGCATGTGGATGCAGTTTGGGTTGCGGAGGGGGATGTGCTGGATGGGAAGGTTGGGGGGAGGGAGATTGAGTTTGCGTATGGGGCGCAAAGGGAGACTATTTGGAGGTGTTCAGGAGGGCCAGGGAGGGGGGCGGGATGGATGTTGAATAAGTACATGGGTGGCAGGTTGGTTTGTCAAGGGAATAATATGTGAAAGGCAAACTGCAGTCATTACCTCCCGTAGGCAAACCGCAGAAAATGGTATAGGTTGAATATTTGCGCGTACACAGACTGCTGTGGCTGACAATGCGAAGTAATAAAAAGGTTCCCATTCTCAGTGTGGCATTCACGCCCGCCTACAGCTGCATTGTTCATGGGATTTGTTGGAGTGGCAATCACAACCGCTGGCCTCCTCCACCTTCCCTTTCTCATGTAGGGAAAGGCAAAACCGGGAACTGTTCACAAGTGAAGGCAGGAACGGGTGTTTGACATTGAGAGTTGGTACTGTGTAGGGCGGCACAGTTCCGCCAGAATCCTGTTCATCATATAGTACATCCGCACCTTCCAAAGGAGCTTGTTACCAAGTGCTGGCATGCGGAATGGACACATCAGATAGTTCTTTGTTCCGCGGTCTCAAAACTCGACAATTCCGCGTTCTACCCTGTGAATCACTCCGTCCCAAGTAACATGCTCACGCTAGGGTTGAATGTATGCATTGTGCCAGGCAAGAACGTGGTGATACAAGTTCAGATGCCGAACAACGTCCTCAAGCAACGCGCAACCAGCCAGGCTCAACGAGAGAAGTTAGGCGATGGCTATAACTTCCCACCCATGTTGCCAGCTACCTTCCTTTCCTCATCCTCTACATTACCATCCCCAACTTGAATCAAGTTACATCAACTTGGGCATTCCTCTCAGCAACAACACCCGTCAAGGTTACATCTCCATTCATAGCAACGTGAGAATGTTTGCTCCTTTCGCTCTCATCACTGGCCTGCTGGCGGCCTTTGTCACTGGCGAGTCGCGTGGCATCACCCCCCACGACATGTACTCCTCCTCGGTGGGCGTTCTCGGCTGCAAGATCAACACCAACCGGGTCGCCTACTGGCCCATGTCGGTCGACTGCGAAAACATCTGCGTCCGGGTCTCCTACGGCGGCCGTTCCGTCGACCTCCTCCGCATCGACCAGTCTGGCGGCGCCTACGATATCTCCTACGACGCCTACAACTTCCTGGTCTCCGGCCAGTCCGCCACCGCGAAACCGATTACTGGGGGCGCTGTTACGATGGATGTACAGACCGTAGCTCCGAGCAACTGCGTGCAGCACCTCAAGGCCGGCGGCCTGCCCCTCTCGGCCTCCAACAGCATGAACTACCTCGCCAGCTGCCTGGGCCAGCCCAACAGTTTCGTCGCAAAGAATTACCGACTTTTCAATATCCAAGATCCGGTCTGCCACTGGGGCTACGACGAGCAGTGCTCCGTCAACCTGGCCGTCAGCAACCAACCCTCGTGCCCCCACGCCCTGGGCGCCACCGGCCCTCGTCTGCCCGACACCGTCTTCAACATCGTCTACGGCACTGGCGCCGTTGTTGCCGCTCCCTAAGCGGGCGAAGGACTGAGATGAGGACCTGCAATGGGGCAGGAAAGGTTTCTCCTGGGAGGTTCGGGCGGCTGGGCGATAACGAGAGGAATCAGGCTTGGAGTTTGGGGGAGAGAGTGGGATCATCGGGGTTTTGCTCTCTGCCATCTCGAGGATAGCCAAACAATTCCAAGTCACATACTACTCATAACAACCATTGTTGTGATAAGCATGCCCTTGGTAATGTCGTTCTTTAATCTTTTGTTGGTATCCCTCCTTGTTTTACGACTGCCCCTCTTAATCTAGTTAGGAAAGTCTCATTGTCCATCGAGAAGTGGATGATCGAAAGAAGTCATGGAAAACACCCGATTCTCCGCTAAAC